AAAGTACTTTGCTGTGGTCATGGCAGGCAGAAAGAAACTTGAAAATGGGCATTTTTTGCCTTGAAAAGCCAGGAAGAGTGCAGGAGCTGGGTGCCAGGATGCTGGATCGAGATGGGTCCAGCTGAGAGCTCCAGGGAGGGGAAAAAGCCCACAGAGACCCCACGGGAGCTTGGCCACACGCTGAACATGGAGAGGACAACCCACCACCCCATGGGTGCCAGCCAGGGTCCCTGCCCCGTCCCCTCCCAGCTGGGGCAGAGAGGCTGCACAGAGGCTCACTGGGGGCTGCACTGGGGGGCACCCCTCGAAGCTGGGACCCTCCAAGCAGATGAAGGGGGCAGCTGCTCTCCCAGCCCAGCAAACCATCTCCCATGGGTGCCCGAAGAAGCGGCTGCAGCGGCGAGATCCTGTGCCTGCAGGATCTGGCCAGGGAGCCGGAGGGGAGGGTAGGACCTGCCTCTAATGTGACCAGAAACAGCCTTGGCTCCCTGTCACCCAGTGCCACTCCTCGGACCAAGGGCTGGCTCTCGCCCAGTATGAGCTGGGAAGAAGCCACCCACGGGTGGCTCTGCTCGTGCCTCCCTGTTGACAGCAAACACGGGCAGGTGGCCGGGCAGAGCCGGCTGCGCTCAGCCGTGCCGGGAGGGTGCAGCCGGGACTGTGCCAGCCCGGAGCTACCCGGTTTGGGGTGAGGAAGGTGACAGCAAAGCTCCCTCCGGCCGTCCTGACCGGGGAGCGAAGGCACAAAGGTGACAGCAAACGTCCTTGATGCCTCCGAGCCTGCCGTGCTGGGGTCCGGGGTGCTGGCGGTGGGGGGGCGGTCACAGCCCACCCATAGATGCGGGGCTGGCGCGATGCCGGCCTCCCCAAGGTCAGGGGGGGATGCGGGTGCCAGCGTCGAGCCAACAGCCCGGTGCTGCCCGCAGATCCCACGGGCTGCTGCGAGCAGGGTGCACAGGGAAGGACAGAGCTGCCAGCACCCGTGGGAGACCCACACGGCGCAGCACACCGTCCTGGCAGTACGGACAAACAGACGTCCCCTCGACAGACGCGGCCGTCCTCGTAGGCTCCGGCACACGAGCGTGCCAGGAGAAACCATCAGAAATACCGCGTTTGGCAAACACCTTCCCAGCAAGTCCCGAGTCCCCGTTCCTTGGGGACACGGGGCATGGAGCCGGGAGCATGGCTGCACACCCAGGCTGCACCCCCAGCCCCCCCATATGCATGGCTGACCCCGGGGACACCCTGGCCGGGCCCCCACCCGCACACAGGAGCGCTGCCCCATTTTGGGGCTCGGGAGAGGGTCACACTGGGGCGGCGGACCTCGTATTGACCCGATTTGCCCACCCCCCCC